ACAGGTGTGAGCCACTGGTGCCTAGCCAGACTCCATTTCTTGCCTTTTCCACTTCTGGAGGTGACCTGGCCTTCTGGGCTCAGGCCCTGCCCTCCATCTTGACTACTGGCAGCCCAGAATCAAAATGACCTTGCTTCTGTCATTTTCATAATTCATTTCCCAGCTCTCCAAGTTTTTCTTCTGTCTTCTTTGTGTGTGTGTGTGTGTGTGTGTGTTACTAGTAGGGCTTGAACTCAGGGCTTCACACTCTTTCTTTGCTTCTTTGCTCAGGGATGGCACTCTCCCACTTGAGCCACGGCTCACTTTCAGCTTTTGGGTGGTTAACTGGAGAGAAGGAGTCCCTTGGCCAGCCAGGATCACTCCCAGGTGGCCTGGAATGGTGGATAAGCTGACAGATTTGGGGTGAAACTCCAGGTCTCCAGGTGAAACAGCAGGTGGGAGCCGGAGGCAAGAAAACAATTCACAAAGCAGCCTGGAGCAGGGCGGGGCGGAGGGAAGGGGGCCATGGTTTCTGAGCGCTAGATGCAGCGCTCCCCACCCCCCACCCCTCACTCCGGGAGCAGAGTCTGGTGGTAAGACCGTGGGCAAATGGGTGTCCAAATCCTGGTTGTAACAAGGCCCTAGGCAAATTTTGTAACTTCCCCCCAGTGTCTCAGTTTCTCCATCTGTGAAATGAGGTGATAGCTGTTAGAATGACTTTTCCCGCCAGAAGTAAAATTGTTGTCTTCTAACTCTGGGTTTGAACTTAGGACCTTCTGCCTGGCACTCTACCACTTGAGCCATGCCTCCAGCTTGGCTTTTTTGGAGTCTTGCAGACTTTTTTGCCCAGGGCTGGCTCTGAACTGTGATCCTTCAGATCCCATTCTCCTGCATTGCTTCTCCTTTCTGGTAGTTCTTGAACTTTAAAGCTTGCAAGACTCCCTGGGTTGCTTATTCAACTCCTATTTGGCTCCTATTTATTTATTTGCTGGTCGTGGGGCCTGAACTCTGGGCCTGGGTGCTATTCCTCAGCTCTTCAGCTCAAGCCTAGCACTCTACCACTTGAGCCACAGCACCATTTCCAGCTTTTTCTGCTTATGTGGTGCTGAGGAATCCAACCCAGGGCCTCAGGCATGCAAGGCAAGCGCTCTACCACTGAGCCACCTTCCCAGCCCTGGCAACCGTTTATTTAATTAAACCCTCAATTAGCCAGGCTGGAGTGGGAGGCCTGGATGGCGTATCTAGCAAGGTCCCCGATGATATGCCATTGTGGCTGCTGGTCGTGATCCTGGGCCTGGAGTAACTGGCAGGCAGAGGGCAGGCGGGGGAGGGGGGGTCGCTGTGGATGGGAAGAGAGCTCACTTTGACTGTACACCAGCTCTGGACTCTTTGGGGATTTTGCTTTTGGCTTTATGCCTTGCTCTCCTTCCCCACCCCGCCCTCCACAGGTGTGGCCTAGCCTGTTTTATGTTATTTGATTTGATTTTCCCTTGTGCTGCTTGAGACCAGGTGGGACTTTTTGAAAGTGAAATTTACCAGGTCTAACAGGGAAAACCAAACGAACCTACAAATAGAAGGCCTAGAGACGCGAGGTTTCTTTTCATCTTGATGGAGCCGAGATTGGGGCTCAGCCCCTGTACCTACAGTCCCGCATCCTTGCACACACCTTGCTTCGCTCGAACCTGCGGGGGAAACCCCGCCCAAAAGCCCCCCTCCAGTCCCCGGGCTACCCCCCACCCACTCCTCCCATTCTGATCCTTCTTTCCTGCCAAGTAGGTGCCACAGCCAAGACCCAGCTGCGTCTTTCTTGGGCTAGGGGGGTGGGGGAGGGTACTTGTGGCCCATCCAGCGTCTGGGCCGTGCAGATGGGGTGGTGGGTGGCTGAAGTTCTGAAGTTCGAATCTCCAGCTGCCACAGAGGCTACCATGTCTGCCCAAAGCCAGGATGGGCGAAAGAAGGGCCCTTAGGGTGGGAAGAAGGCGTGGGGCGGGGGTCAGCATGATAGACAGGGAGACCGCAGGGGAGAGCCGGGCGGTGTGTGGGGTGCTGGGCCTTGGGCCTGTTTGGGTGGCCACATAGAGGGCTGTCAGCATGGGGTTCAGGGTGAGGCTACTAGTTCATGGGCGGTGGGTACCCTGATGTCTTCAGACGACAGTTCTGGGTGGCAGACCCTTTGGGTCGAGGTCGAGGGTCAGCTGGCCACACTCAGATCCTGAGCAGGCCACCAATGTGGTTTTGGAGCAGACCCTCGGCCTGTGGAGCAGGGTTCCCATGGTAACGGGCCTGAGGGGCTGCTGGGTTCAGAGACCACCCTTTGTCCCCAGTCCCACCCCAGTGGGGGTGTCGGGTGGGAGTTGGGGGGCTGGGGAGGTGCTTGGTGTCTGAGGCTCAGCTGTGGGCCCCTCCTCACACCTAGGCCCTACCTACTGTTCTGGAATGGCCCGGGGACCCCCAAGCCTCGGCCCCTGGCCACTTCCTCCAGAAACCCCACGTGGAAATAGGGCCCCTAGTTCTTTATTTCTTCTTTCGTGGAGCTGGGAAGGACAGGGAGGAGAGCCCACACTCCCCAGGGACAGCAGCAAGATGGCACCCCCTAGTGGCCAGCCACAGATACACAGTGGTTGGACCCGCCACCTACCCTCGGCACTGGTGCCCTTCCGGCGCCAGCATTACATTTGTGGTTTGTTGCGCTGGCTTCGCTTCTTGATCTCTCTCTATAAATACACAAATTATTATGGCTACTTTTTATTTTGCTAAACAATTTGGGAGATAGCTTAAAAACATTTAAACCTTTACCCTTAAATATTTCAGCATGTATGTGTGTGTGTGTGTGTCAGTGCACATGCGTGCATGCGTGCTCCAGTGCCAGGATTTGAACTCAGGACCTTGACACTGTCCCTTTTGCACTCAAGGCTATCACTCTACTCTTCAAGCCACAGCTCCACGTGAATTTTGGTAATTAATTGGAGATTAGAGTTTCATGGTCCTTACTGCCTGGGCTGGCTTTGAACTACTGTCCTCAGATCTCAGCCTCCTGAGTAGTGATGATTACAGGTGTGAGCTACTAGCACCCAGTGCTGCATGATTTTTATATGTAGACATCTCTTTTGTTGTTCATCATGAGCCTTAAACTCAGTGCCTGGGCAATGTCCCTGAGCTCTTTTGCTCAAGGCTAGCAAGGCTGTCCCTTTGAGCCACGGCTCCACTTCTGGTTGTCTGGTGGTTAATTGGCGATAATTGTCTCACAGTCTTTCCTGCTTAGGTTGGCTTTGAACTGTGATCCTCAGATCTCAGTCTTCTAAGTAGCTAGGATTACAGGCGTGAGCCACCAGTGCCCAGCTGTGTAGACATCTCATAGATTAACCATGTCAGCCTGAGCAACACAGTGAGACTTTGTCTCAAAACAAAACAACGCGCTGAGGGGTGGTCAAAGAGAGGGGCGCAGTTGGGTGGAGCAGTTGCTGTATTCAATGAACATTATGTACAGTTTGAGCCATGTAACTTGAGGGTAGGGATGGGAGAGGGAAAGGTAGGAGAAAAAGATGGAAGAAGTAACTGATCAAAATGCATTGTACTTGTAAGCGTCAACCCAGAAAACCACTCCGACACACAGTCACCTACGAGAAAGAAGCGTTTAATGTCAGCCAGAGGCTGACAGGCTTCGTCTTGCGGGATAGAGAGTAGCAAACTGCTCTCGCAGCCTTAGAGGTAGATAGAGTGTCAGGAGTCTGAGGGCAGAAGAAAGGGCCTGGGGCAGGAAATCTTTGTCCTCACAGCTGGACCCTGGAGATGGCAGCCAGCCAGGGCAGGACGTTCTATAGCTGGCTGGCAGCCAGGGAACACGTCCCAGCTCAGAGGCCGTACATTCTGTATCTAGCATGTAGCAAAACCAGTATATCTTACAGCTGTCCTGTAGCCATGGGAAACATCTTGGGGCAGAGACAATACATTTTATAGTTGGCACCTTGAGATCATACACTAGGACCAGCGTGAGACCGAAACTTGTATCTGGACTCTGTTGTAGCTGGGACTGGTGGGAGGAGACAACCGCGGCTGGGCCTGGCTTTGTGAAGAACTCAGGGCAAGGGCTGTCTAGCTTACACAACTCATAATCCAACTTGTAGAACTGAAACCCTTTTGTACAGCTACTTTAAAAGTAGGCTGGGAGAGGCTGGAAGGTGGCTCAGTGGTAGAGTGCTTGCCTTGCATGCATGAGGTCCTGGGTTCGAGTCCTCAGCACCACATAAGCAGAAAAAACTGGAAGTGCCACTGTGGCTCAAGTGGTAGAGTGCTAGCCGGATGAGGGACAGCGCCCAGGCCCAGAGTTCAGGCCCCATGACCGACCAAAAAAAAAAAAAAAAAAGTAAGCTGGGAGCTAGTGGCTCACACCTGTAATTTTAGCTACTGAGGAGGCTGAGATCTGAGGATCACAGTTGAAAGCCAGCCCAGGTGGGAAAGTATGAGACTCTTTATCTCCAATAAAAACTACCAAAAAAGCTGGGCGCTGGTGGCTCACGCCTGTAATCCTAGCTACTCAGGAGGCTGAGATCTGAGGATTGCGGTTCAAAGCCAGCCTGGGCAGGAGAGACTGTAAGACTCCTATCTCCAATAAACCACCAGAAAACCGGAAGTGGCGCTGTAGCTCAAGTGGTAGAGCTCTCGCTTTGAGCTGAAGAGCTGAGGGACAGCGCCCAGGCCCAGAGTTCAAGCCCCACGACCGACAAAAAAAAAAAAAACTACCAAAAAGCTGGAAGTAGAGCTGTGGTTCAAATGGTAGAGTGTTAGCCTTGAGCAAAAATGCTCGGGACAGCACACGGGCTCTGAGTTCAAGCCTGAGGACTAGTGTACACACACACACACACACACACACAATTCTCATCCTGATTTATCTTCTGTAATATGAGCCAAATCTCAGGCCTGTCCTTGACACTGGTGACCACCAAGGTCTCCAGGCTGCAGTCTGGAGGGGGATGGGTGTCTAGGATCCGTCTGGTTTCTCACCAGCTTCTCTGACCCTCCAGGAGCCATCCCAGAAGTCCAGTTGTGCCGGAGACCCCAGCTTCTACCATGACCAGGCTTCGGGGAAGTGCTGTTACCGCTGTCCTTCGGGTGAGAAGGGAGCCAGGGTTGGCATGTGGCGGGTGTTGGTCCTCAGGTTCTGGTTATGGGGCAGGGGGTAGGTGGGGACCCCGGGAGCCAGAAGTCAAAGTGATTGGTTGCAGGTTTCCCAGGACCATCCTGAATGTGTCAGATTCTGGGGAAGACTGGCTCAGAAGAGCAGGGGCCAGGAGGCGCTGTCTGGGCCTCAGGGCTGAGTTTATGACAGTGTCAGAAGCAAGGATTTTAGGAATGCTAGTACCAGTGATTTACACCTGTCATCCTAGCTACTCAGGAGGCTGAGATCTGAGGATCATGGTTCAAAGCCAGCCCAGGCAGGAAAGTCCCTGGGCCTCTTATCTCCAATAAACCACCAGAAAACAGGAAGTGGAGCTGTGGCTCAAGGATATAGTGCTTGCCTTGAGCATAAAACTCAGGGAAAGCAACCAGGGCCTGAGTTCAAGCCCCAGAATGGGCACAAGGAAAAAATGTTTGTAAAGAAAAATATACTAGCCACAGGGAGAAAAATCAGGCACTCTCTGCTTTCTACTTCTTTCCTGTCCTCCTTGTCCCCTCCCACCCCAGCTCTCTCTACTTGGAAGCTGGGACTTAGGGAGGGAGGGAGGGGCCTCGCTTCCTCTCAGCCCCACGCCAGGCCCAGTGCAGGAGACGGCTGAGCGGCACCGGGCCTGCACGCTGGGTGGGGCCTTTTGCTGGAGTTTTATTGACCCCATGCTTCCCAGCAAGCCGCAGAGGAAAACCAAAAACCCTCCTTCTGTCTCATACGGAAATTTGTGACATTTTGTCTGCTCTCTGCCATCAGCGCTCCTGGGTGGCACGGTTGTACGTAGGTGGGTTGGTGGAGGAAGGAAGTTGGGAGATTTTGGGGTTTGACAAGCTCAGACTTCTTCAAATCCTCTTCACCCAGGCCTAGAATGCGTGTGTGTGTGTGTGTGTGTGTGTGTGTGCGCGCGCGCGCGCGCGTGTCCGCATGCATGCTCACTGGTGCCAGACGTGGGACTTGAACTCAGGGCCTGGGTGCTGTCCCTTAGCTTTTTCGCTCCAGGCTAGCACTTTACCAGCTCCATTCTTTTGGTGGTTCATTGGAGATGAGTCTCACAGATGGGCTGGGAAGGTGGCTCAGTGGTAGAGTGCTTGCCTTGCATGCATGAGTCTCTGGGTTTTACCACATAAATAGAAAAAGCTGGAAGCGGCGCTGTGGCTCAAGTGGTAGAGCACTACCTTGAGCTGAAGAGCTGAGGGACAGCGCCCAGGCCCAGAGTTCAAGCCCCATGACCAAAAAAAAAAAAAAAAAGTCTCACAGAGTTTCCTACCCTGGCTGGCTGTGAACCTTGATCCTCAGATCTTAGCCTCCTGAGTAGCTGGGATTACAGTTATGAGCCATTTGAGAGAACTTTTTCTTTTTGTTTTTGTTAGTCATGAGGCTTGAATTCTGGGCCTGGGTGCTATCCCTCAGCTCTTCAGCTCAAGGCAAGTGCTCTACCACTTGAGCCACAGTGCTACTTCTGGTTTTCTGGTGGTTTATTGGAGATAAACATCACAGACTTTCCATCCTGGGCTGGCTTTGAACCATGATCCTCAGATCTCAGCCTCCTGAGTAGCTAGAATTACAGGCGTGAGCCACCTGCACCCAGTTTCTATCTTCTTATTTAACAATTTTGTGTGTGTGCAGATGCTGAAACTGGAGCTTAAACCCAGGATCTCTTGCATTTGCTTAGCTTTTCTGTTGAAGGCTAGTGCTTTACCATTTGAGCCACACCTCTAATTCTGGCTTTTTGCTGGTTAATTAGAGATAAGAATCTCTTCATTCCTCAGTACCACATACATAGAAAAAGCCCGAAGTGGCGCTGTGGCTCAAGTGGTAGAGTGCTAGCCTTGAGCCAAAGAAACTCAGGGACAGCGCCCAGGCCCTGAGTTCAAGCCCCAGGACTGGCAAAAAAATAAAGTGGAGTGCTCTGATTAGCCTGTAGGGCCACGTACTCATCCCAACGCAGAAAGGGATGGGCCACGCTGATTGGCCCTCCTGGGTCATGTGTTGTGACTTGGTAGCAAACTGTGGGGAGCACCTGCCCGCAAGCATGTGGCAGGACAGAATGTGGGGGGCAGGGGAGTCCCCAAAGCCATCCTAGGTACCCACGACCCCTTCACCTACCCTCAGCATCTGCCGCTCCTGTCCCGGTAGGGTGGGGCAGGTATTGTGCTTTGCGTGGTTCTCAGTCAGCCTGGGTTAGGGTCCTTGGGGCCATGGCTCCCATTGCCCCCCAATTCCTGCAGAGAACAGGATCCCTGCCAAGAATAATGACAGCCAGGGCCCAGCAAGTGCTTACTGGAGGCTTTTTACATAAGCCACACACACAGTCTCTTCAATCTGGTCAACAAGGCTAGGAGATGGGCCTTACCGCTGATTTACTGTGAATGAAGGCATCAGAATTGCCCATGAGCCCTCAGTGGACTGAACTAGCTGCTCCGGAATCCCAGCCCCCCCCCCCCCCCATCTCTAGCACACGAGCTGACAGACACACTTAGGGGTTGTAGCGGGAGCTGGGAGGGGCTCAGAGATGGCAGGTGGCGGGTGGGCAAGGTCTCTCCCTCAGTGGCCTGGCCTGGCACTTCTCTGCTTCTTTTCCCAGGCTGGTCCCCGTTGAGGCCCTGCCCGCAGAGGTCTGCGGACTGCAGGAAGCAGTGTGAGCCCGATTACTACCTGAATGAGGCGGGCCGCTGCACGGCCTGTGTCAGCTGTTTGAGAGGTAAGGGGCTGTTCTCGGGGATCCCCTTCCCAAGGGCTTGGGGGGACTCCGGTGAGGAGCCTGGGGTTTTGGTGGGCTTAAACTCTGACCTGGCTCCCAGGAGACTCAGTTTATCTTTCTGAAAGTGTGATCTTCTGGCTCTGTATTTTGGGTGTGTGTGTGGTGCCGGGATTTGAACTCCGGACCGCAGGACTTCAAACACTTTGCTGGGCAGGTGTTCTCCAACTGGAACCACACCTCCAGCCCAATACTTTTCTGAGATGTAGTGTGTTTCCTGAAGGCTCCCATTTAGGGTTTATTCTTAAAAAAAAAAAAAAAAAAAAAAAATCAGTCCTGGGGCTTGAACTCTGGGCCTGCGCGCTGTCCCTCAGCTCTCCAGCTCAAGGCTAGCGCTCTACCACCTGAGCCACAGTGCTACTTCCTGTTTTCTGGTGGTTAACTGGAGACAAGAATCTTACAAACTTTGGGGCTGGGAAGGTGGCTCAGTGGTAGAGTGCTTGTCTTGCAAGCATGAGGCCCTGGGTTCGATTCCTCAGCACCACATAAGCAAAAAAGAAAAAAGCCGGAAGTGGTGCTGTGGCTCAAGTGGTAGAGCACTAGTCTTGAGCTGAAGAGCTGAGGGACAGCGCCCAGGCCCAGAGTTCAGGCCCCACAGCCAGACGCAAAAAAAAAAAAAAGAATCTTACAAATTTTCCTGCCCGGGCTGGCTGTGAATCATGATCCTCAGATCTCAGCCTCCTGAGTAGCTGGGATGACCGGCGTGAGCACCAGTGCCCAGCAAAAGACTGGCTTTGTCTCATGCTTTCAGAGGTGCCAGGCCATGCTCATTTGCCTCAGTGCATCATGGGAAGTGCCTATGGAGGAAGAAGCCTATTTCCCTCATGGCAGCCAGGAAGCAGAGAAGAAACAGGAAGGAGCTATAAGCCCAATTTCCGCTCTAAGGCCATACCCACAATGACCTATTTTCTTCTAAGCGCCACTCTCTTTTTTTTTGTCGGCTGTGGGGCTTAACTCTGGGCCTGGGCGCTGTCCCTCAGCTCTTCAGCTCAAGGCGAGCGCTCTACCACTTGAGCCATAGTGCCACTTCTGATTTTCTAGTGGTTTATTGGAGATAGGAGTCTCATGGTCTTTCCTGCCCAGGCTGGCTTTGAACCATGATCCTCAAGTCTCAGCCTCCTGAGTAGCTAGGATGACAGGCGTGAGCCACCTACTCCTGGCTTATTCAGATCCTTTGTGCATTAAAAAATTAACACTTTAGGGGCTGGGGGTTTAGCCCAGCGGAAGGGCGCCCGCTCAGCGCGCGGAAGGCCCTGGGTTTGGTCCTCAGCCCTGGGGAAAAAAAAAAAGCTACAAAAATTAACACTTTAGGGGCTGGGAAGGTGGCTCAGTGGTAGAGCGCTTGCCTTGCACGCAGGAGGCCCTGGGTTCGATTCCTCAGCACCACATAAGCAAAAAGAAAAAAGCCGGAAGTTGGCCCTGTGGCTCAAGTGGTAGAGCGCTAGCCTTGAGCTGAAGAGCTGAGGGACAGCACCCAGGCCCAGAGTTCAAGCCCCACAACTAACAAAAGAAAAGAAAGCCGGAGGGTGCCAGGTGCCCTGCCCACGGGAAGGCCACGCAGCTCTGAGCAAGTCTTGGGTGGCCCCCGACCCCTGTCCCTCACTCTCTGACTCCTTCCCCTGACCCGCGTGTCCTTCAGATGACCTTGTGGAGAAGGCGCCCTGCGTTGGGAACTCCTCCCGCGTCTGCGAGTGCCGCCCTGGCATGTTCTGTACCACCTCGGCCACCAACTCCTGCGCCCGCTGCTCCCCTCACTCCGTCTGCCCTGCGGGGCTGGTGGTCCAGGTCCCAGGTGAGCCGCCAGCCGGCCCCGCGCCGCCCTGCCCGGCCAGGCCCGGCTGGAGGGGTCGGCGTTCAGTGTGAGGGTCCCAGCCACGGCGCTCCCAGCTGCAGGCCGAGGGACTGGCCTTCCTTTCTCCACTTGCTGTGTGACCTCAGGCAGGTTCCCGCCCTCTCTGTGCTTCTGACAGTTCAAAGGGGGGGGCAGGGGGCGGTCACAGGTGCCCCGGCCCAGGACACAGAGCACAAAAGGACCGGACGTGGCTCACCAGCCCCAGCCCGGCGCATCGCCCGCCGCCCTGCCGCAGCCAGCCCACGCCAGTCCCCACCGACCCCCTTCCGCCACGCCCACACGCTGTGCGCCTGCGCCGCGGACACGGTCTCGCCAGCCCCTCCCGGCACGCGCATGCGCGCATCCACCCGCTCGCGCCCACGGCCCCCGCCGGGCCCCCGCATGGCTTCCTCCCCTCGGCTTTCAGAGACTGGCTCTTGCTCGTGTCGCGCTCGTGGGGTTTGAACTCGGGACCCCCGGCTTCCCGAGCCAGGGCGCCCCGCCTTGCTTGTGGCTGGTCATCCGGGAGAGTCTGCCTCCCAGCCAGCCTCCAGACCTCAGCCTCCTGCGGCCGGGATTCCAGGCGGGAGCCGGGGCGGCCGGCCCGGGGCAGCGCTCGGGGGAGGGGTGTCCCCCCCCCCCCCCCCCCCCCGCCTTCCTGGGAGCGGAGCCGCTGACGCGGTCTGCCCCAGCCTTCCCTCTCCGGCTCTCCCGGATCTGCCTGTGCTTCTCCCTGCCACAGGGCCTTTGCACATGCTGCTGCCGCCCTCAGGAGCACGCTCCCCTTCCCGTCCACTTAGTTGATCATACGCACTTTAGCTCTGTGTTCCAGTGCTGCTTCCTCGAGGGTCCGTCCCTGTTCTGGAAGTCACATCCTCACCTGTGGCTGCTCAGAGCGTGCGCGCGCAAACACACACACACACACACACACACACACGAGACACAGAACACACGTGGGCATTTGCTCAGGGTGAGCATCTCCCACCCAGGATGGACAGCAGAGGGCAGTGTGCCCCTGAGTCTGTCACACCCCAACTATCTGATCAGTACCCGGCAGAGAAGCTGGTCCCACAGAAAGCTGGGTGGAGCTGAGGCTGGGTGGGGTCCCCTACCCCCCCCCCCCAGGGGACTCCTGATCACAGATGAGCACTGGCCACGGGGCAGCCAAAGCCTGGCGCCTGGCGGGCAGGGATTGGGTGGAGAGCTCTGGTCTGCTCCTCGGCTTCCTGGGACTTTGCAGTTTGTATCTGTGGGTTCTGTTCCTACCCCACCCCTTGGGCCTCCGTCTCCACCTGCAAAAGGGGGTCTTGGGACTTGAAGGCTTGAGGGCCTTTCCAGCTAACTTTTTTTTTTTTTGGTGCTAGTCCTGGGGCTTGAACTCGGGCCCTGGGCACTGTCCTTGAGTGTGTGTGTGTGTGTGTGTGCGTGTGTGTGTGTGTGCGCACGCGCACGAGTGCGCGTGCTCAAGGCTAGCACTCTACCACTGGAGCCACAGCACCACATCTGGCCTTTTCTGAGTAGTTTATTGGAGATGAGAGTCTCAGAGACTTTCCTGCCCGGGCTGGATTTGAACCTCGGCCCTCCAATCTCAGCCTCCGAAGCAGCTTGGATTCTAGATATGAGCCACCAGTGCCTGGCTCAGCTAGCTTTGTAAGGAAGTTGGATGTGACAGGCGTGGCTTGGGCCGTGTTTACCCCGAGCAGGTCTGTGTGGCTGGAGGGGTACAGTGGAGGGCTAGTCCGGCCTGGCACCCCAGTACCCTGGGGGGGGGGAGGGCTGCTGCTGGTCCCGGTCCCTGGTCACAGATGCTGAGATGAGGAGAGTGACCCCCCCCAGCAAACCCAGCTGCCCGACCCCAGGGGCAGTGAGGGCCAGGAAGGCGCGAACTCACTGCTCCCCCACGCCTCGGGCTTGGGGTGGCGTCTGTTCTGCAGACTGGGGGCTCCCGGATGCCAGTTCTGAATCTGAAGCCCCCTCTGGCCCTCTCCCCAAGGCACGGCAGAAAAGGACAATGTTTGCCAGCGGCCTCCCCTCCCTGGCCCCAGCGACACCAGCCCGCAGGACTCCAAGACCCCCACCAGGTGACCCTCCCCTCCCCTCCCCTCCCCTCCCCTCCCCTCAGGTGTTGGGGGGTGGGTTGGGTCAGGGCTCCATTGAATCCTCCCAGAAGGCCTTAGGACTCCAGCTCTTGCTCCCAGGTCTCTATGTGGGGATGGAGGTAGATGCTCTGCAGCCCCGTCTCCATAGAAACGGCAATCCCCGGCCCATCGGGACGCACCGGTCCCACCCCTGGCTTCTCCTCCCGCAGCTCTGCTCCCCAGGCCGCTGGCAGGACCTCCCATCCCTGGAGGAGCAGCGCCCTCAGGCTGGGAGGGACGGCCAGTCTCGCGAGGACTCCCAGATCCCGACCAGGTAATGTCCCGGGTCCTCGGGTGTCTCCCTGGGTGGCGGCAGCCACAGGTGGCACCGAGGGACGGGGCAGCCGAGTCACGCGGCAGAAGGGGCCGGGCAGAGCGCCTGGGCCCACGTGGTTTGCGTGCTGTTCTCAGCATTTCTTCCCTCTTTTCTTTTTGGTGCCAGTCCGGGGAGTTGAACTCAGGACCTGGACGCTGTCCCTGAGCTTCTTTGTGCTCAAAGCCAGCACTTCACCACTTGAACCACAGCTCCATTTCTGGCTTTTTGGTAGTTTATTGAAGATAAGAGTGGGATTTTCCTGCCTGGATTGGCTTCCTCAGATCTCAGCCTCCTGAACAGTCAACATGTGGTCAGCATTTCCCAGACTCCGTAGGCCTGGGCCCCAGGGCAGGTGTGTGTGGGAGAAGTGTCCCTCCCTGCATTCAGGGTGCTGTGGTGGAGAGGTGGCCCCTGCCCATGCCTACAGCCCTCCCCTCCCCCCGGCTCCCTGGTGCAGGATCAGGCTTGGATCTGTTCTTTCTGTCCTTCCTGTGACTGGCAGGATGGGGCTTGGCTCATCTAAAGCAGGTTTTAAACGTTTGTCTTGTTTCTCTTTGGGGGCTCTGGTGATTAGGAAAAGCATTTCTTGGCTGGGTGCTGGTGGCTCACGCCTGTCATTCTAGCTGCTCAGGAGGCTGAGATCTGAGGATCGAGATTCAAAGCCATCCTGGGCAGGAAAGTCCGTGATATTCTTATCTCTAGAAGTGGTGCTGTGGCTCAAGTGGTAGAGCGCTCACCTTGAGCTAAAGAGCTGAGGGACAGTGCCCAGGCCCAGAGTTCAAGCCTCACGACCGACAAAAGAAAAGAAGCAAAGCATGTCTTGGTCAGGCACCAGTAGCGCATGCCTGTAATCTTAGCAACTCAGAAGGTTGAGATCTGAGGACCATGGTTTGAAGTCATGCCAGGCAGGAAAGGCCATGAGACTCTTATGTCCAATTAACCACCAAAAAGCCAGACATGGAGGTATGACTCAAGGGGTAGAGAGCCAGCCTTGAGTGAAAAAGCTCAGCTGGGCATGGGTGGCTCACTGTAATCCTAGCTACTCAGGAGGCTGAGATCTGGAGGATTGCAGTTGGAAGCCATCCTACAGAAAAGTCCATGAGACGTCACCTTTAAAATAACCAGCAAAAAGCTGGACTGGAGCTGTGGCTCAGGTGGTAGAGCACCAGCCAAATGAGAGCGACAGGTAAGCGTTTAACCCCAGTAACGACCCCCTGAAAAAAAATTATTTTTCCTGAAATGATTGGGCTGGTCCAATCCTGACTTGTGTGCAAGGCTGCTTTATTGGGTGGTGATAGAAATGTATAAACCACGGATTCATGGGGTGGAGGCAGGGAGGAAGGGGCTCATGACAATGGGAATTTCTACAAAGTTCTGGAAGGTTAGGGACGAGGGGCACAAGTAGAGGAAAGGTCACTCCGTTGTGGGTGCAGACTGAGAAGCATGGGTGGGAATTGGGGACCATAGCAGGACATGGGCACCGGTCCTGCAGGATCGGAGCCGGTGTGTTTGTTCGGGTACGGTAGCTGGCCGGCTGTCGACACCGGAGGAAGATCTAGGGGGAGATGGGGCTGCCAGTCTGGAGCTGGCACTCTGCAAACCTGCCAGCTGTCACTCCCTGCCAGGGACTCTCTCCTTACTCAGGGAAGACCCACCACGAAGAAGAGATATTAAGGAAGCCTCTTCCCAAAGACTGGTATATTCAGCAGAGTCCTTAGTTATGAAGTAGGAATGAGTGGGGTGCTGGCGGCCCACACCTCTCATCCTAGCTGCTCAGGAGGCTGAGATCCAGAGCGTCAACATTCAAAGCCAGCCTGGGGAGAAAAATCTACCAGATGCCATTATAATCAACCAGCACAACGCAGGGCTGGAGGCGTGGCTCGAGTGGTAGAGGCCAGCTATGAGCCAGCAAGCCGAGCAAGCACGAAGCCCTGAATTGAAGCCATGGCATTGGTACATTGAGCTAAGAGTATGGGTGAGACATCTTCAGATTTGTAAGGAAAACCAGCCCTTTGCAGGTCAGGATGCATAAACACACGTGTCCACAGAAAAGCAAGACATCGTGACACCTGTACGGTGGGCACGGAAGGCTGTGCAAAAGAAGCTGACGTCAGGGGACAGGAAACGCCTTTCGCTAGCATGCATCGTCTTGGCTCTCAATTCACCCCCTGCACCTGCCCAGTGTTAAAGGAGTGGATCTCAAGGCACGCTTGCAGTGAGCGCATGTGGTGTGTGTGCTGGCCGGTAGAGGGCGTGGGAGAGCCGCTGCGAGGAGGAAGGAGGCGTCTCTTGCTCCATTACATAGTGACCTGTCAGCAGGACAAATCAGGGCCACTCTGAGCCCTGTGGTGCCCTCGAAGCACGCAGTGCCCAGCCACAGTCCAGCTTCCTATCAGCCATGAAGGTTTCCCTCACATGGTCACTGTGTGCTTCCAGCCTCACACCGGGGCGCCCCAAATCCCCATGAGACGGTGAGCTTCTCCAAGTCACTCCCAGAAAACCAGAAGTGGCACTGTGGCTCAAGTGGTAGAGTGCTAGCCTTGAGCACAGAAGCTCAGGGACAGTGCCCAGGCCCTGAGTTGAAGCCCCATGATGATGATGATGATGATGATGATGATGAGGAGGAGGAGGAGGAGGAGGAGGAGGAGGAGGAGGAGGAAAGCTTTATAGACCTTTTAGGTCTGAAACCATTTGTACTCTGCTCCTAACATGATTGTAATTCAGCTGGGTGAATGAACTGGTCCAGACCTAGGAGGGAGGTAGTGTGGCTCACAGAGAGTGCTCTGGACTGGCCCTTGGGACGTCTGCGTTCTGACTTGAGTTTGCGTTCCATGGTTCTCTCTGTCCATATGGCAAGGTGGCTGGGTCAGATCCGAGGTGCCCAGCTCTGGGCTGGCGCTCATAGACATTCCATGTGGCCAGCACAAGGATCCAGCTGGCCCTCCTGGGTGCTTGCTCTTGAGACGTGAAAGACGTGTGCAGCTGCCTTTATCACAGCCCATAATTGGAGACAACCGTGAGGCTGTCCGCTGGTGATGGATGAATACATGGTGCATCTGTTACCTCTGGGCTGTTTTCAGTGGTGGGTGCCAATGGCTCACGCCTGTCAGCCTTGCTACTCAGGAGGCTCAGATCTGAGAATCGCAGTTCAAAGCCACCCCAGGCAGGAAAGTCCATAAGACTCTTATGTCCACCAGAAAACAGGAAGTGGTGCTGTGCCTCAAAGTGGTAGAGCGCTAGCCTTGAGCTGATGAGTTGAGGGACAGCGTCCAGGCCCTGAGTTCAAGCCCCATGACTTGCAAACTAAAAAAGAAAGAAATTGGAAGTGGAAAGTCAGTGATTCTAGGCATCATCAGGGCCTTAAACTCAAGCTCTTGTTGCTTGGATTTTTTCATTCAAAAGGTGGATCTCTATCACTTGAGCCACACCTCTACTTTTGGCTTTCTGCTGGTTTACAGGAGATGAAAGTCTCCTGGACTTGTCTGCCAGCCATGCTCCTCAGTTCTCATCCTCTCGAGTAGCTTGGACTACAGGCATGATCCAGTGGTGCAGCTCTAAGGCAGCATTTTAACCACTAGGAGACTTCAGGTTGCTCTTAAATCAGAAGGCCTGGGTGGCCGCAGCTTCTCTGCTTTGATCTCCTGAAAAATCAGCCCAATCATCTCAACCATAGCCGCAGAAGCCCTGCTCTACAAACAGCTCCTTGAGTCACTCACCGGTCCCGCCGGTTGTCTCTCTTAAAGACCCCAACTGCTTGGCACTGGTTCGAAGATTTCCCCACCCCCTTGCAGGTATGGCCGAAAGAGACACGACCTTGAAGCCACTTCCCTTGGGGACCTCCCCAGACTACAGCACCCCAAAAAACAGCAAGACACCTGCCAGGTGATGCCCCCCATCTTCTGCCTGCAACATCCTGGGGACACTTAAGGGTGGCCTGGCCGCGGGTGGAGGGCCGTGACCTCGGAAGGGCCCACAGGTCATCGGGGAATGTGTGTCCAGCTGTGTGCCTACAGGATTGGAAAGCCCCCAGTCCCTGGCTTTGCCGTGCCTGGCAGAGACTGCGGGCAGAGATCCTGGGTGTGCCAGGCCTCGGGTTGCATTCTCTGTAGACAAAGCCTCATCCCTGCGCATGCACCTGCTTTTCTGTCCGGATGCTCACTCCTGCCTTGGGCTCCTCTCCCTGCAGCACCACCCTGAGCCCGCTGCTGGACGCCAAGACCAGCAGGACCGTGTTGATCTCCACCCGCTCTCTCCCCTCCACCCGGAAACCCATTCTGAATGCAGGTACGAATCACCTCCCAGTGGCTCTGATTACCACTCAGAAAGTATTGACGGGATGATCTCATGACCTCAATTTGGTGCCTAACTCCCTTGAGCCTCCGTTTTTCTCAGCTGTAAAATGGAAGCGCAGAGGCAGTGCAGCGTGTGGCCAGTACCTCACCCTGTACGTTGGGGGCTCTTTGGTACCCAGTCATTCCCCTAGGGCTGGCAGTTCTTAGGTGCTGCCACTAGGTGGCAGTAGTGCTCGGGCCAGCCAGGCTCAAAGTGTGGCCCTGACTGCATAAGGAAAGCATCTCTATCAGCCACACCCCCACACCTAAATCCCAACAGCCATGGAGAGTTGCCATGGCCAGGTAGTTTTACTTGTAATCCTAACTATTGAGGAGGCTAAAATCCATAGGATTAGGATCCAAGTCCAGCCCAGGCAGAGAAATCTGTGAGACTTTGCCTTCAAAATAACCAGGAAAGGGCTGGGAAGGTGGCTCAGTGGTAGAGCGCTTGCCTTGAGCTGAAAAGCTGAGGGACAGCGCCCAGGCCCAGAGTTCAAGCCCCATGACTACCACCACCACCACCACCAAAATAAAACAGGAAAAAAAAAATGCATCTGGCTGGAAACTGGTGGCTTATGTCTGTAATCTTAGCTATTTAGGAGGCTGAGATCTGAGGATCCTGGTTTAAGGCCAGTCCTGACCCAGCTGCTGTCCCCCCCCCCCCCCCATGTTTCAGGGCCCGTGTTGTTCTGGGTGGTCACTGTGCTGCTGGTGTCTCTTGGCTCCGGCTTCCTCCTCCTGTGTCAGCACCGGGCCTGCCGGAGGCAGATTGGGCAGAGTGAGTCGATTGGGGGGGGGGGGGCAGAAGGGGAGAGGGAAATGGCCGCTCTGTGGCCACTGGCCGGGTCCCCACCCTGCTCTGTCTGTGCCCACCCTGTGCCCCTGACCCCAGCCCTCTTTCCTGTCTCCTGACAGAGCTGCACCTCTGCTTCCCCGCCCAGAACTTCCAGCCCAAGCTGGATCCTGTGGGTAAGTGGCCAGCAGTGGAAAGGGGTCCGGCGGACACGGGCGCTGGGGTCTGGGTCCTGGGTGTGTCCTCACCCGGAGCATGCTGTGTGTGATGCTTCTCTCCTCTTCTTTCTGCCTCTCTTCCACTACCTGGCTGATGAGCAAGGGGCAGAGGAAAGCGGGGAGGGGGGCAGACAGGCAGGACACTCATGAGTCTCCTGCCTCTGCCCCTTCCCAGCCCCAGGACCTTAAGGGGGCTCTTTAATGCCTCTCTGACTCAGTTTCCACCACTGTAATACAGAGCAGGGGACTTTGGAAGGTTGCATGTAGTATTTAATCCAGCCAGACCTGGGAAGCAGACCCTCCCATTGCCCCCTGCCCTGTCTTGCGGGGGAGCCTGCCCTAGGAAGAGGAGCCTGCCCTAGGAGGAGGAGTCTTTCTTGGGGGAGGAGCCTATCCTGGGGCAGCACCCAGGAAACATTGGCTGTTGATGATTGGCCAGCAGCCTTCCTCCATCATGGGGAGTCTGGACCATCTGAGACCCAGGTGGTTTTCAGTCCTTACTCTGCCCAGCCTTCCTGTGCCAAGAATCTTCTCCCCATTCAATGCAGGACTGGGCCACACACAGGTGCCTCATGCCTGCTCTCCTAGCTACTCAGGAGCCTGAAATCTGAGGATAGAAGTTCAAAGCCAGCCCAGGCAGGAAAATCTGAGACTTTTTATTTTTTTTATTGGCCAGTCCTGGGACTTGAATTGAGAGCCGGGTGCTGTGCTTGAGCTTTTGTGCTCAAGGCTAGCGCTCTACCACTTGAGCTGCAGCTCCACTGCTGGTTTTTTGGTGGCTCACTGGAGAGAAGAGTCTCACAGACTTTCCTGCCCAGGCTGGCTCTGAACCACGATCCTCAGATCTCAGTCTTCTGAGCATCCACCAGTGGCCAGCTTAGTTCATGAGACTCTTATTTCCAATTAGCCAGCAAAATGATAGATATAGGGGTTTGGCTCAAGTAGAGCACCAGCCTTGAATGAAAGAGCAGCGTGAGACCAGGAGATCCTGATTTCAAGCCCCATTATTGGCACACACACACACACACACACACACACACACACACACACACACACACACACACACACACCCATTTGGCCAAGTTTACCAGCACTCCATTTGTTGAATATCTTCTGTGTGCTGGCCCCCTAAGCTTCCCCTTGGAGATGTATTGACTCCCCCCAGGGCAACCTGGGGTTGGAACGCAGCCAGCTCTGTGCTGCTCCCTTGGGAAACTTGCCCAGCTGCCATTCTTTTTTGCAAGCCCTGAGGCTTGAACCCAGGGCCTGGGCGCTGTCCCTGAGCTTTTTTTGCTCAAGGCTAGCACTCTCCCACTTGAGCCACAGTGTCACTTGCAGTTTTTTCTATGTATCTGGTACTGAGGAATCGCACTCAGGGCTTCATGCAGGCCAGGCAAGCACTCTACCACTAGGCCACCTTCCCAGCCCTCCAGCGGCCGATCTTATCTGTGGAGAGCTGCTGAGTCCTTCCTTCCCTCCACCCTCCCTCCCACAGCCCTGTCTTCCACTTCAGTGTCCAGTGGCCTCCAGTTGTCCAGGACCTGCAGAGGGGCTGGTGGTGGGTTTTCTGTTGTCCTGGACATAAAAACCCAGGCTGCCATGGCATGTTTTGAACAGGGCGAGTTTCACAAGCGTGCTCTCTGTACAAGGGGGTTTTTGAATTTCGAGAGCGTTCAGGCCTGTTTCCATGAGCTGGCAGTGAGGGCCAGTCTCATTGAAACCAGAGTCTGCTTTCTTGACATTCTTCTAGTATTTGACTTTCCATTGCTGTCAGTGTGTTTTTTTTCCTGTAAACCTTCATATAAGCAGGGTTTGTTTTTTTTTAATTTTTTTTTTTTTTACAAAAAAGACAGAAAGCAATTCCCTTAAGAGGTTAGGCCTGGTGCCGGGTGCTAGTGCCTTGGCTCCCACCTGTAATCTTAGCCATTTGGGAGGCTGAGATCTGAGGATCCCAGTTTGAAGCCAACATGGGCAGAAAAGTCTGTGAGACTCGTATCTCCAACTGACCACCAGAAAAGCCATAAGTGGAGGAGTGGCTCAAGTGGTAGAGCACCAGGTTTGAGCAAAAAAGCTCAGGGACTGCATCCAGGCCTCGAGTTCAAGTCCCAGTACTGGCATACATACAGAAAAGAAATTGGACCTACAAGAGACAGATGTGGGACATGCCAGCCTGGCCGGTTTGAGGTCCTTGAGATGTGGTGTTTAGGTTTGGTGGGCGGTAGTGCAAACTGGGTGAGCAAGTATGCAGGGCACAACGCAGGTGAACCTGGTCTGAGCAGGGCAGATGTCTGTCCTGTCAGTGGACACAGAGAAGCCACCATGGTTGGTTGCTGCTCTGTCTGAGCACACCCCGTCCGAGCTCTCTCGAGCTTTCAGACACATGTCACATCTGTAAAGACAGAGTGACCAGTTCTCTGGGGAGAACTTTTACATGCTGGTCCTGGGGTTTGAATGCGGGACTTGGTGCTGTTGCTTAGCTTTTTGTTGTTGCTGTTGTTGGTTGTGGGGCTTAAAGTCTGGGCCTGGGCGCTGTCCCTCAGCTCTACAGATCAACGCTAGCGCTCTACCACTTGAGCCACAGTGCCACTGCTGGTTTTCTGGTGATTGATTGAAGATAAGAGTCTCAGAGATTTTGCTGCCTGGGCTGGCTTTGAACCGTGATCCTCAGATCTCAGTCTCCTGATTACAGGTGTGAGCCACCGACTTGGGCTGGGCACTGCCCCTGAGCTTCTTTTGCTCAAGGCTAGCAACGCTACTACTTGAGCCACAGCGCCACGTCTAGCTTTTTCTGTGTATGTGGTACTGAGGAATTGAACCCAGGGTTTCATGCATGCTAGGTAAGCACTCTACCACTGAGCCACATTCCGAGCCCTTGCTTAGCTTTTTTGCTTGAGGTTGGTTCTGCACCACTTGAGTCATGCTGCCACTTTTGGCTTTTTGTTGGTTAATTGGAGATAAGAATCTTAGGGATTTTTTTCCTCCCCTGGGCTGTCTTCCAATGGCGATCATCAGTCCTCAGCAGAGGAGGAATTGCACCTCAGGAGAGTGACAGAAATGGAAGGGACCCAGTTTTGTTTTGTTTTTTCCTTGTCTGTCATGGGGCCTGAACTCTGGGCCTGGGTGCTGTCCCTCAGCTCTTCAGCTCAAGGCTAGCGCTCTACCACTTGAGCCACAGCACCACTTTCTGCTTATGTGGTGCTGAGGAATGGAACCCAGGGCCTCATGCATGCAAGGCAAGCGCTCTACCACTGAGCCACCTTCCCAGCCCAGGGACGAAGCTCTGAACCACACATCAGCATCAGTGCTCTTGGGCCTTTAGGGAAGCCGTGTACTTAACCCAGAATCACTGTGGTACAGTGTGTCCTGAACTCTGGCCCCTGGAGCCCAGGGTGAGTTTCCAGTAAGAATGCGGTTATTCCAAAAGCTAGAGGAGCAGGCTGAAGCAACCTTGTGAAGGGAAAAGCCCTGAGGCAATCTGACCTCTAGCACTTGTTGAGATTTGTTTTGGATTGTTATCAAAGTATTTATGGGTTGTGATGGGAACAGAATTTTCTAGATTCTCCTTTTACCTTTGTGTGATTCTGCACTCATTTCTGAGAGCCCGCCTCCAATGCTGGTTTTCCCTCTCATGTGATGGAATGCCATCCTGTTGGCACCCTGGGTTTTGCTGGGACCTACTATGTGCAAGGGGTGTCCTGGGCACTTGACCTTGGCAATTTCTTTTTCTGGACCTGGGGCTTGAACTCAGGGCCTGGGTGCTGTGCCTGAGCTGCTTTTGCTCAAGGCTAGCAGGCTACCACTTGAGCCACAGCACCACTTCCGGCTTTTTCTGTGTATGTGGAACTGAGGAATTGAACCCAGGGCTTCATGCATGCTAGGCAAGCACTCTACCACTAGGCCACCTTCCCAGTCCTTGTTTTTGTTTTTTGTTTTCCTGTCCCAGGCTCCTTCAGGTACTTGTGACTGCTGTGAACTCATGTTGGAAACTGAGTGCCAAGTTCTGAGCGCTGAGTTCTTCCAAAGCCCACCAGGAGTGTATATAGTTCATTCACACTGCAGCCTGGTTGATATTTTATCTTGTTGGTTGGTTGGTTGGTCAGCTTGCAGTGAATGTGTCTTCTAGGATTCAGGTGCGGCTGGTTCCCTGAGCTGTAAAAAGCAGAGAGCACATTCTAGAAGCTTCTTTGCTGGCCTGTCAGATGCGCACACCTTGTCTACACAGGCTGGGGCTCCTTAAGACTGTGTGTCCCAGACCAGACACCAGATTACAAGCCTGTAATCCCAGCTACTCAGGAGGCTGAGATCTGAAGATCATGATCTGAAGCTAGCCTGGGCAGAAAAGTCCGTGAGATTCTTCTGTTGATTGTGGGGTTTGAACGCAAGGCCTGGGTGCTATCCCTGAGCAGGTCAAGGTTAGAGCTCTACCACTTTGAACCACAGCTCTACTTCCTGTTTTCTGGTGGTTAATTGGAGATAAGAATCTATGGACTAGCCGAGCGCTGGTGGCTCATGCCTGTAATCCTAGCTACTCAGGAGGCTGAGATCTGAGGACCTCGGTTCAAAGCCAGCCCGGGCAGGAAAGACCGTGAGACTCTTATCTCCAATAAACCGCTAGAAAACCGGAAGTGGTGCTGTGGCTCAAGTGGTAGAGCACTCGCCTTGAGCTGAAGAGCTGAGGGACAGCGCCCAGGCCCAGAGTTCAAGCCCCACGACAAAAAAAAAAAAAAAAAAATCTATGGACTTTCCTGCTTGGGCTGGCTTTGAACTTCGGTCCTAGATCTCAGCCTCTTTTTTTTTTTTTTGTTGGTCGTGGGTCTTGAACTCTGGGCCTGGGTGCTCTGCCTCAGCTCTTCTGCTCAAGGCTAGTGCTCTACCTCTTGAGCCACAGCGTCACTCCCTGTTTTCTGGTGGTTAATTGAAGATAAGAGTCTCACAGACTTTCTTGCCCAGGCTGGCTTTGAACTGTGATGCTCAGATCTCAGCCTCCTGAGTAGCTAAGATGACAGGTGTGAGCCACCGGTGAGTGCCTGGCCCATGGTAAATGTCCACATGACCTCCCGAGACGCAGCCCCTGTTCAGCAGGAGGAAACAGTGACGTGGGGGTGAGCAAGAGGAAGGTCCTGCCCTGAGAGTCATGGTGGACAAACTCCTGGGCCTGTAGAATGGGGGTCTGGACAGAAGAGAGACAGCCAGGGCATGATTGTGGTCAGGGACTGAGGGCTTCAGCCTGAACAATCTGGGCGCCCATCTCCCGCTCAGCTACTGCCTGGAAGCTCCCAGGGAGCTGTGCGGGTGCTCTGGGCTCTCCTGAGGGGTTACAAGCCCCCCACCCTGCCCAGAGGGAGCCTCCAGGCTCTGAACCAAGATGGGCGTAGACACAGTGAAGGTGGGGAGTGATGGGGGAGGGATGTCATCCCCCTGTGGACTGAACATGGGGGGGTGAGCCTCCAGCGCAGGGAGACCCCAATGCTCAGACCACGTGACCCTGGGTCGGGTCTCAGCCCATCTGCCTTCCTGGGGAGCCATCTGCCAGCGGGTAGGGTGGGGTGGGGTGGAGCATGGTGGGGCGGGCCAGAAGGCTCTGCATCCTGGATGAAGTTCTACTCTTCTGCTTTTTAAAATTTAATTTATAATTTGACTTGCAGATGCCAGACCTGCCAGGACCCTGTCAGTAAGTACCACCCACATCCCATGACTGTATTCCAATCAGATCTGTGGCTTCAAGGCTGCTGGTGACGGGAGAAAGGGGGACTGGGCAGCTCCCCCTCTCCCCCCTCCCACCGTCCCCAGTGCCCAGAGTAGCCCCTGCAGGAAACTCTGAACCCAGGGGCTTGGCCTGGGGCCCCTGCAGGCCTGGGCCCTTGGTGGGGAAGCTCACCCCTATGACCAGTTCCTGGCTCAGTCCCAGGGGGTTTCCAGAAGGGTTTACCAAGATTTGGCTCTGACCCTTTGGGGGCCTGTATCTGGCCCTGAGGAAGTCTGTACATATAGTGTACTTTCTCCTTTTCTTCTTTGTTCCACGAATAAAGCTGATCCATGAAGCTGGATGGCAAATCCAATTATGAAGACCTTAGAAGCAGGGCGCCGGTGCCTGTAATCCTAGCTACCGAGAAGGCTGAGATCTGAGGATCGCAGTTCAAAGCCAGCCTGGGCAAGGAAAGTCCATGAGACTCTTATCTCCAATAAACCACCAGAAGACTAGAAGTGGCGCTGTGGCTCAAGTGGTAGAGCGCTCGCCTTGAGCTGAAGAGCTGAAGGACAGCGCCCGGGCCCAGAGTTCAAGCCCCATGACCGACAAAAACAAAGAAAAAGAAAAAGAAAACCTTAGCTCCCGGGCTGGATGCTTGCGTCTCTCCTCTGTCATCCTAGTTAAGTGTGCAGCTAAGATCTGAGGATCAGGGTTAGAAACCAGCCTGGGCAGGAGAGCCCGTGAGACTCTTATCTCTCATAACCCAGCAAAAAGCCAGAAGTGGAGCTATGGCTCAGGTGGTAGAACACCCAGCCTGGAATGAAAAAGCTAAGGGACAGCACCCAGGCCTTGAGATCAAGCCCCAGTACTGGCAATAAATATTACACTCTTACTGGTCCCTAGAAAGCACCTTCTTTTGGGTGTGTTTTCTAGAAGTTTTCTCAGAGAGAATACTCCAGCCCAGACAAGTCAGAGGTTTTATACCGCCACCCTGTTCCCTGAGCTGCCTTCTTGTGGGGTCACCTGTATCCCCCAGACCCCGAGAAGTGCTAGGCGTGGGGCCAGGGACTCTGCCAACTCTACGGCCGCCCACCCATGTGGGGCCTGTACTCTGGGTCTTCCTTCGGCAGCCTGCCCCGTGCCCAGCTTCTCAGGGCGTGTGGGGAAGGGGTGGTGCGCTGTCCTCAGAGCTGAGGGCGGGCGCAGGGTGAAGTACCTGCTTGTGCCAGGTTCACGTGGCTCACACTGCGTCGTTTTTTTTTTTTTTTCCGTTGATCAAATTTTCCATTGCATGCTTTTTCTTTTCTCTTCCTTTAAAAACATTTTTTTTTCTTGTTTTTGTGTTTTGGTAATACTAGGGTTTGAACTCGGCCTCATGCTAGCTACATAGCTGTTCTATCATTTGAGTTATTTGGCTATCCCAAACCATTTCTTCCTTCTTTCTTCCTTCCTTCCTTCTTTCCTTTCTTCCTTCCTTCCTTTCTTTCCTTCTTCCTTCCTTCCTTCCTTTCTTTCCTTCTTTCTTCCTTCCTTCCTTTCTTTCCTTCTTTCTTCCTTCCTTCCTTTCTTTCCTTCTTCCTTCCTTCCTTCCTTTCTTTCCTTCTTTCTTTCTTTCTTTCTTTCTTTCTTTCTTTCTTTCTTTCTTTCTTTTTGTTTTTGTCAGTCATGGGGCTTGAACTCAGGGCCTGAGAACTGTCTCTGAGCTTTTTTGTTCAAGGCTAGTGCTCTACCACTTTGAGTCACAGTGCCACTTCTGGTTCTCTGGTGGTTAATTGGAGATAAACATCTCAAGGACTTTCCTGCATGGGCTGGCTTCAAACTTTGATCCTCAGATCTCAGCCTCCTGAGTAGCTAGGATTACAGGCATGAGCCATCAGCACCCAGTTTCCTTTTAATTTTATTTTTTGGTTGGTTGTGGGGTTTTGATTTAAGCATTCCAGCATTCTGTACAGGAAGGCAGCTTCCTATTATCATTATTATTATTATTATTTTCAGTCTTGGGGCTTGAACTCGGGACTAGATGTTGTCCCTGAGCTTTTTCCCTCAAGGCTAGTGCTCTACCACTTGAGTCACAGCCCCACTTCTGGCTTTTTGGTGGTTAACTGGAGATAAGAGGCTCATGGAGTTTCCTACTGGGGGTGGCTTTGAACAGTGATCCCCAGATCTCAGCCTCCTCCTGAGTAGCCAATGCTGGGCTCTGCTTTTCTTTAAAATAGAAGACTTCTGTCCCAGGAAATTGAGGTAGGAGAGTTGGGGTAGGCCTTGAGGGGTGCCAGCATTTAGATCCTGGCCAGACACTTGCTAACCCTGGACAACTTAGTCCACTTCTCTGTGCCTCAGTTTCCCCATCTGTAAAGGGGACTTTCCTGGGTAGTTGTGTGTGTCAGCACATCAGTAGCTTAGAACAGGGCCCGGCACATGGGAAATGCTGCATGAGATGCTGACTAATGTCATTAGTAAGCCCAAATTAAAAGCAATGGACGTGGGCTTGGGACTTGGCTCTTGTGGTAGAGTGTTCACCCAGCAAGTATGAAGACCTGGGTTCAAATCCTAGTGCTGAGAACTCGCCCCCCCAAAAAAAAAAAAAGAAACCAGAGGCTGGGGCGCTGGTGGCTGTTGCCTGTTCTTCTCAATCTGAGGATCACAGTTCAAAGCCAGCCCGCATGGGACAAAGTCTATATGACTCTTTTTTTTTTTTTTTTTGTCGGTCGTGGATCCTAAACTCTGGGCCTGGGCGCTGTCCCTCAGCTCTTCACCTCAAGGCTAACGCTCTACCACTTGAGCCATAGCACCACTTCTGGCTTTTTTCTGCTTATGTGGTGCTGAGGAATCGAACCCAGGGCCTCATGCATGCATTGCAAGCATTCTACCACTGAGCCACCTTCCCAGCCCCAAAGTTTAAAAGACTCTTATCTCCAATTAAACACCCCAAAGCAGGAAATGGAACTGTGGCTCAAGCGGTAGAGTGCCAGCCTTGAGCAAAAAATAAACCCCCAAACTCAGGAACAGCACTCAGGCCCTGAGTTTGTCAAACCTCAGAAGAAGAAGAAAAGAAGAAGGAAGAGGAGGAGGAAGAGGAGGAGGGGGGGGGGAAGAGGAGGGGAGGAGGGGGAAGAGGAGGTTACACAGGGGCCCCTCGTGCAGTGGATCAAGGCTGGGAAGTCCAGAATGGCTCATGGCAGCTTTGAAGCAAAGCTTCAAAGAGACTCCCTTGGGGGAGACTCCCTTGGGGGCCAGAGAGAGGAATAAAAGAAGGCTTTCCTCTTCCGAGGCTGGGGGAGTTGGGGGTGTGCCCTGCCTTAGTTTCTACTCCCTTATCCACAGGAGTCAACAAGAATATCGGTGACCGAGTTTGGCCCGGGCTCGCTGAGCACAGCCAGCCCCCCAGCCGTGGAGCTGAGTCCCCCTGTCGGGGCAGCTTGCCCGGAGAGCCTGCCACTGCTGGACGCCAGCCTGGCCGAGGGACCCTCCGTGCCCAGGGACTCTCTGGAGCCCCGTGTGTCCACAGAGCACACGAATAACAGGATTGGTGAGTTGGCCGGTTTGGGGGTCTCTGGTATGGCTAGTGAGAGGTAAAGGACAAGGATTCTGGGGCCTAGATGGGAAGCAGAAGGCCCTGGGGTCCCCCCCATACCTGTGAAGTCAGGATGGTGGCAGGAATGCTTCATGGGGCCATGGAGAAAAGTCAAGCGTCAGCCTGGGCCGGGCGCCAGTGGCTCATGCCTGTCATCCTGACTACTCAGGAGGCTGAGATCTGAGGATTGTGGTTCAAAGCCAGCCCGGGCAAGGAAAGTACGTGAGACTCTTCTTGAGCTGAAGAGCTCAGGCACAGTGCCCAGGCCCAGAGTTCAAGCCCCACAACCAACCAAAAACAAACAAACAGCCTGGCATTGCTGGTATTCAAGTGTGGGGGGGCCCTCAGACTGGAGGAAGACAGCTGGCCCCTGACAGCTCTCCGCCTTGCACTACCATGGAGTTTGCGGGGCACACAGGCCCAGCTGGCCCCCAGCTTGGACGACATCCTGGTATAGCCAGAGGTTCTCTGGAAGATCTAAACCTGCCCATACTGCACTGCTTCTTCTTCAACCCCCATCACCCTTAGGATTCCAGACCAAAGGAAGAAATAGGAGGCAGGAAAAGTGGGGGAGCAGAGGCAATGTTTATTTGAAAGTGGGTATAAGGCATCAGGGAAGCTGGGGGAAAGCCTCTTAGCTACCAGTGGGTTAGTACAAGCCCCCAAGGAGGACCTTCGGCTGGGAGGGATGCTGCACACCGGGTGAGGTCCTGTCCACCTGCTTCCTGCCCAAGGAGGAAGAGGAGGAGGGGGAGGAGAGTGCTGGTCTAAGAGAGCAAGAAAGGGACCGGAAGTCGGGAGTCTGCCTGCAGTGCTCCCGGGGTCCCCCTTTTTTATCCCTCTGGGTGCGTCTCAGCTGTCCTGGCATCTGGTTGGGTCACTGCCCACCTCACCCCGAGGCCAGGCCCTGGCCAGGGCCTGCTGCAGCTCACCAAGCTGCTGTCTGGCGCCATCCACCTGTCCCTTAGGTCTGCCACTCAAAGCTGGTCGGGGCTGACTCCTTTCCGCCCGACTGCATCTGTCCACTCTCTCCTGGACTAAAAGTTTCTCTAAATGTTCTGATGCTTCCCTCAGGCTAAGCTGCTTCTGCAGGAGCCACTTCCTGGCCGAAAGCAACCAACTCCTTCCCCCCTGAGGCTGGCAGGTTCCAGATGTTTTCTGTGTTTCCTCCTCCAGGGAGCCTTCCCTGCCCTCTCTACGCTGTGGCATCCCTCATCTGTGCATCTTGACACCCAGGCTTCCCCGTCCAGTGTCCCCACTCTTTCTCACTCCACCTGGCTGGGAGGCCCCTGGGGCAGGGCCTCCCAGGGCCCCACCTCCTTATCTGGAAAGGTCACTGGGCCCTGGGACCTCTGGTGGGTGCTGCTAGGGAGAGCTCCTCCGGGCAGCCTGCCTCAGGAACCAGTGTCTGCAATTGTAACTGTAAACCAATGTTTGAAAAGCATCGGAGGAAATACCATGAGGCGCCTGCCGATTTCCGGAGAAGTCCTAATTGGAGCGCTTTGACTCCAAGCTCAGGGCCTTGCTGGGAACTCAGGGTGGAGCCCTGGGAGTAGGGGAAGAGGCCCCTGGCAGCTCCAGCTCCAGCTCCCTGCACTGGCTCAGCCTTCCCAGATGCATGTCCCACCCCAGCAGGCTGGGCAGGGAAATGTGTTGGAGGTCCCCTGCACGGGACACCAGGCCGCAGATGACTCCTGGTGTGGACAGCGTCCCAGGGGAGCCGCCTCTGCTAGCTCTCACACAAGACCCAATTCCCTGCCCTCCTCAACTCCTGCCTGGCCCAGATACCTCCCCGGACCTCTGGGGTGGGGAGGCAGCGTCTGTGCAGCGCTGTGACTCCCACGGTGGGGGTGGGTAGGCCAGGGCCTTGGCCTGGCTCCAGCTTTGGCCTCTTCTGACCAGCCCAACACCCTCTTTTCCTCCACGTGTCTCCCCTCCTTTCATCTGTCCGCCCTCTATTCTCCCCACAGCCTGGGGACCCCTCAGCCATGGCCTCTGCCTCCTATCTATGCCTAACCCCACCGAAGGGCCCCCAGATCCAGGGCCACGGGCCTGGACGGGGATGTGGGGTGGAACCTGAGCTGCTGCTCCTGTGGGGTGGGTCTTGGGGGACACAGCTTGTCCCCTGTTCTTTCTGGTTCTCTGTTCTTTCTAGTAGGTCTCTCTTTCCCTATAATCCTAGCTACACAGGAGCCTGAGATCTGAGGATCGCAGTTTGAAGCCTGCCCAGAGAGCAAAGTCTGTAAGATTCTCACCTCCAATTAACCAGCAAAAGGTCAGAAGTGGGAGGTGTGGCTCAGGAGGTGTCCTGCCAGCCAGCCTTGAGCAGGAAAAGTGAAGCAGGAGTGCAGGGCCCAGCACTAGCATAAAACCAACCCAACAAACCAAAAACCATGGACAAACCACGTGCCAGTGGCTCATACCTGTCTGTAATCCCAGCTATTCTAGAAGCTGAGATTTTAGGATCGAAGTTCAAAGCCAGCCCAAGTAGGAAAGACCCTGAGACTCTTATCTCCAGTTAACCACTAGAAAACCGGAAATGAGCTAGGTGCTAGTAACTCATGCCTATAATCATAATAACTCAGGAGGCTGAGATCTGAGGATCATGGTTCAAAACCAGCCAGGGTAGGAAAGTCTCTGAGACTTCTATTTCTAGTTAACCACCACAAAGCCAGAAGTGAAGCTGTGGTTCAAGTAATAGAGCACGAGCCTTGAACACAAAAGCTCAGGGACAGCCCAGGCCCTCAGTTCAAACCCCAGGACTGAATTGGGAGCCAGTGGCTCACTTCTGTAATCCTAAACTACTCAGGAAGCGGAGATCTGAGGATTGCAGTTCAAAGCCAGCCTGGGCAGGAAAGTCCATGAGATTCTTATCTCCAATAGACCACTCAGAAAACCAGAAGTGGTGCTGTGGGTCAATTAGTTGAGTGCTAGCCTTGAGCTGAAGAGCTGAGGGACAGCGCCCAGGCCCAGAGTTCAAGCCCCACGACTGACAAAAAAAAAAAAAGGACTAGCATACACACCAAAAGCCAGCATTGAGTGAAAAAGCCATATAACAGCATTCAGACCCTTAAGTTCAAGCCCTAATACTGAGGCAAAACACACACACACACACACACACACACACACACACACACACACACACACACACACACACACACACACACACACAGAACAAGCTGATACCAAACAATGAGGTTGGGGCGCCAGAGTCTTGTGAAAATCTTTTTGGGGTTCCTGAATCTGAGGAGTGAAACTGGGCTTCACTAGGCAGGAGACCCCACCCCAGTCTTGCTCTCAAGTTCCCTCTTGAGTTTCCTCATTCAATCTTTACAGCCCAGCGCAGCTGGGAGCCAGACCCTGGCCTGAGTGTGAGCTGCTGGCGCGCTGGGCCTGCTGGGTACAAGCAGCTGCCCTGGCCCAAGTCTAGGCTTCCCCTTCCCGGCTTCTCAGGCAGTGTGGAGCCGTCTGGGCCTCCAGTCTCCCGCTGGAAAGGCTACTCTGGCAGTCCCTACAATGCAGTTGCTTATTAATTAGCAGGGCCCAGACCTGTGCAGCGCGCGCCCAGCCCGTTGGGTTTGCCTGAACTGGTCTTCCCAGCACCCCCATCCTCTTGCCTTGCAGAGAAAATCTACATCATGAAGGCCGACACCGTGATTGTGGGGACCGTGAAGACTGAGGTACCCGAGAGCCGAGGTCTGGGGGGGCCGGGGGAGCCCGAGCTGGAAGTGGACCACGCACCGCACTTCCCAGAGCAGGAGACGGAGCCACCTCCGGGCAGCGGTGAGGACGTCATGTTCTCCGTGGAGGAGGAAGGGAAGGAGGACTCCGGGCCCACGACCATGTCTGGGAAGTGAGGCCCGGGAGCCGAGTGCCCCTTGAGGTCAGGGAGACGGAGGCCGGCGGGGCGTGAACGGAAGCGCTGGGACCTCGGGATGGACCCGGGTGGGCACTTGGGATGGACCCGGGTGGGCATCCTGGCTTGTGTTCTTGCCTGACACCAGGAACTCATAGTCAGGACAGCACCCACCCAAGGAGGGGCCGTGAGGTTGGCTCCATGTCCCTCGCCAGCACCCCTGTGGCCTCTCTCCCTGGGCCTCCATGGTGACAGCCTCCAGGCCTTGCTGGTGTGTCGCCAGCCCCCAGTTACTATGCACGTGGCCAGGGTGGGTGTGGAGCCCGGCCTGGAGGCCTCTCCTGAGTCAGAGGGGAAGTGAGAGGTCGGAGCACTCGTGGTGGGTGCTCTGCCCCCAGCCCGGGCCCCCAGGGGCTCCCTGCCACCCTGCCCGGCTCCCCACCCAGCCCAGGCTTCCCACGGCTCCGCCACCACCGCGCCAGCCCCAGGATCAGTTCTCTGGTCTCAGAACACCTGTCATTTTGTGGCTCAGATGTCTAGAGACCCTATGGCTGCTGGAAGTCAGCCAGCCCTGCTTGGCCTCCCCACACAATGAGGGACCACGGGACTTCCTGGGGCCCTAAAGTACATAGTGGCGGCCCCTGCTGGGCCCTGAGATTGAAGAAATGTCCTTACATCCATAGATTTTAAGTCACAGGACCCCCCACCCCCAAGCCCTGCACCTGACGTTAGAAAGCACACCACCCCCTGCCCTTCCCTGCCCCCCCCCACAAAAACATTCATCCCTTGCTGTGCCCTGGCCCAGCCTCTAACCATGATCCTCAGATCTCAGCCTCCTGAGTAGCTGGGACTACAGGTGTGAGCCACGGACACCTGGCCTCTCAACCTCTTCTAAGAAACAAGCGATGGATGTACTGGGACCAGCATGTGCTGCAATCTGTGGTCCGGAGGGAGGAGCTGGGAGCCTGGTTGTGCTCGAGGCTAGCTCTACAGAGGAACTGGGTCAAGAATCACGAGGGCAGGGACTTGTGAAATCACCCAGATGTTTTGGGGAAAGTTGTTGTGGCTTGGACATTGCGAGAGGTGGTTTCACTAGGACCCAGATGGAGAAAGGCCAGAAAAGGCTTGAGTGGCCCTGGTGATGTTTGCCTAGTGGTCTTGTGCCAGGACTGAGAGGACAGTCATGTCCCCACAGCTGTGATGTGATGAGCAGAAGACACCATCTTCCTGCTGAGCAGGTGGGCCGGCCACCTGGACTGGAGGATAGTGCCACACATGCACTACATTGCTTGTGAGATGGGGTCTTGCTGCATAGCCCACACTGGCCTTCAGCTCTCTATCCTCAATCCTCCCACCTCAGCCTCTTGAATACTGGGATTACAGGCATGTGGCACTGTGATCACCTGCCACACATTAGAACAGAAGAAGATACTTTCTTCCCCAGTGGCACTTCACAGCTGGCACCAGGGCTTGAACTCAGGACATTACCCTCTTGGGTGACTTTTTTCTTTTTGTTGGTTGTGGGGCTTGAACTCAGGACCTGGGCACTGTCCATGAGAATTTTTGCTCAAGGCTAGTACTCTACCACTTTGAGCCACAGTTTAGTGGTTAATTGGAGATCAGAGTCTCAAAGACTTTCCTGCTCAGGCTGGCTTTGAGCCACAATCCTCAGATCTCGGCTTCCTATGTAACTCGGCTTACATGCATGAGCGACTAGTGTCTAAAGATCCATAGGGTCTCCTCCAAAAGTGAAGAACTAGAAATAGAGTGTTTGAAAACCTCTGAGCAGGAAGGGCCTCCTCCCCCAGGGCAGAGATTACTTCCGTTCAACCCCGACCCCCATACCCACAATCAAGAATAAGAGTGGGAGACCCCCTGGGCTCCTCCTCATGCATCCACGCAGGTTCTCCTGCATGTAGCTGCCACTCTGGTCTTTTGATGAGATGCAGAATAAAGCTGCTGTGGTCGTCAGACGGCTGGCGGTTTGTATAGACGGCTCCTGGGCCTTTGCAGGGCTGCCTTCCAGCCCCACGGCTTTAGAAAAGGAATCCTCCTCTCTCCAACAAGCAGGAAAGGCCTGTGCCTTGGGAGGCAGCTGAGGTCGGGGCGGGGGGTGGCGGGGGGCAGGGGGGTTGTATGTGATCAAACCTCTTACCTTGTGGGATACCCCCAAATTCCTCCAAACCAGTCTTAGGACTGGCTATTTGGTAGCTGTCTGAAATTCTGGACCTCTGCTTGCCATGTGCTGAGGACCCCTGTGGAGAGGAGTCATGGTTCTAGAACATTCCAGACTGTACCATATTGCTGCCCGTAGCCTTTTCCCCTTTCCTTCCCCAAACACTGGCCATGAGTGGAGCTGGGTTCAGCTGCCCGGGACTCCCGGTGCACAGATGAGCTTGCTCTGGGGGCCCGGGGACAGAGGAGTTGGGTCATTGCTGTGTGCTATGGAATCTGGGTCTGGAACGGGGCTGGACAAGAGAGCTTCCTTGAGGATCCACCTGAGCGGACCAGGGAGGCTCGGTGAGCAGGGAGAGGCCTGAGCATGGACAGCCCATAGGCCACTTCAAGGGACTCAGATTCTACCGCAAGCGCACCACTGCATGCTTTGTTGTTGTTGGTGATGGTGGTGGTCGTGGGGCTTGAACTCTGGGCCTGGGCATCGTCCCCCAGCTCTTCAGCTCGAGGCGGGCACTCTACCACTCGAGCCACAGTGCCACTTCTGGTTTCCTTGGTGGTTCATTGGAGAGAAGAGACTCACAGACTTTCCTGCCTGGGCTGGCACAGGTGTGAACCATCGGCGCCCGGCTGCATGCTTATTTCTATTGTCCTGTTAGAGCCCAAGCATCTGGGTACTATGTCAGCCCAGAGTGAGAACTGCCAAACCTTGGGTGTCCAAGTTCATCTATTTCAGAGAGAGGCAAGGGGCACTTCCCAGCAGAGCTAGAGCCAGGATGCAGTTAGATGTTTCTTTGTTTTCTCAGAAAGGCAAAGAGCTAAGATGACATTCTGGTGGCCTGGGGCCGGGCCTCCTGTCCCCACAGGAGTGAGCGGACAGCCAGCCCAGTTCCTCTCTCCTCCAGAGCCGTCCAGGAGAGCAGACACCACACAGAAAAGTCCCAGGAGGCTGGCAGTCCCCGCTTGTTTTGGGGTTGAGCCTTCAGCACCTCAAGGACTGAAGAACAAAATTCTGCCTCCTTCTCCTGGTTAAGCAGGTGCAGGACCCACACGGTGGGGAGGGGACCCCTGGCTTTGATGAGAGGAAATGTCAAGGGATTGTGGGTGAGGGGGTGGTGCTGGGGTTTGAACTCGGGGCCTCTACACGCTAGGCTGGCGCAGTCTGCGGAGTCTCGCTTCCAGTCCTGTTTTTCTTCTCAGGATAGGATCTTCCCTCTCTCCCAGGTGGGTCCCTGAGCCCCGATCTGCCCACTGTAGGCTCCTCACCATTGCTGGCATAGCAGGCACACACACACACACACACACACACACACACACACACACTATTAGGAAAATGGAGGAGAAAGGATGGAAGCAGGCTGGACTCGATCTTCTGTAGGTGAGGACTGTTTATTGAACAGTGCGGGCAGCAAACCTTCCCACAGGATCAGAGGTTGTGCCAAGGGGTGGATCTGGGGTCGGGCTGTTATGGGTCTTAACAAGGAAGTGGAAAATTAAAAAACAGGCCCCTTGGCAGTGCCCTCTCCAGGCCTAGAATGGAATGCTCGGCCAGGGTGAAGGAGCCTTCAGCTACTTGAAGGTCTGGAGCAATCTGCCTTGCGGACAAGCACGTGAGCGTGTACCTGGTGTTTTGCTTGACCTGGGGGACTGGGGCAGGAGTCAGCCCTTCACACACACACGCTGATCTCCTGGCTGGAGACAAGAGTCTCCTGCCTGGACTTTTCTGCCGGAGTTGGCCTGTGGTCCTCCCATTCTCAGCCTCCCCAGGAGCTAGGATTGACAGGTGCACACTACCCGCGCCTGGCAGATATCAAAGATTGGGTTTAATTCTTCATGGACTGCCTTGTTCTGTTTCCAAAAGATTTGAACTGGCCTCAGGAAGCGAGGTAAACCTGTGCCAGGCTAAGGTGTCCTGGATGACACTTCGATGCTAGGCTTGTCTTGAGCGTGTGCACCCTGGACAGTGAGGCCAGCTGGGGCTCTCGGAGGTGGCAGAGGTGAAGCCCACAGCTGTCTGATGGGAGAACACTGGAGGCGCCCTTTGGTTTTTAGAGCGGAAGACAGGCTTTCAGAGTCTGGGCTGGCCTCCCCAAGGAGAGCAGGGCAGGAACTGGCACCTGCCAGGGCAGGAAGGGGCCCTGGGAGGGCCGTGGGGTCTGGTCAGGAAGTCTCAGAGCTGCGGGCAGATTAGGCAAGAGCAGGTTTTCTACGTGATCACACTGCACCGGGGAAATACCCACCAATTCAGCGTATCTTGAAAGCCCTCGGTCCAGCCGGAAGACCCTCTGTATACGCTGGCCACCCACAAGATGAACCAGGCATCGGGACCCTCTCCACATTTCCCTGAGGACCACCCTGCCTGACAAGGGGGTTTTGTAAAAGGGGCTCCATCTTTGCCATCCAGGAAGTGGCCTGTTTCAAAGGAAGGCAAAGATAAGAATAATATCTTCTTGAGGCTTTTGTACCATCTACTGTAAACCCCAGGGGCCCAGGAAAGTGGTTACTCTAAGCATCCTGTGCTTCAGGTGAGGAAACCGAGGCTCAGAGAAGTCATTGGGCGAAGGTCACACAGCTGTTCCGTGGTGGGGGTAGGATTCAAACTCAAGCCACCTGGTGCTGCAGTTCCAGTAGTCTGTGGTCCAGGCCAGGGTCATCACCCTGGGCTAAGTTCCTGGTCTTCACATATGGCTTCTAACAGGTGTCCAGCCTCTACTTCCTTCTCCCTCAAGTGCATTGATAAGTGAACCGACTCCAAAGAGATGCTGGACGGAGGTGCTCGCGCCTTAGCTTGTTACATCACGTAGTAGTAAAGAAAACGGGTGGGAACCCTAGCTACTTAGGAGGCTGAGATCCGAGGCTCATCAAAGTTCAAAGCCAGCCCAGGCCTGACCAACTCGTGAGCCTCTCATCTCCATTTAGCCAGCAAAACAGCCAGAAGTGGAGCTACGGCTCAAGCGGTAGAACGCCAGCCTTGGACAACAAGAGCAAGAAAGCTAAGCTACATGAGAGCACAAGGTCCTGAGTTCAAGCCCCAGCACTGGCATAAGAAATAAAATAGGTAAATGGTTAGGAGGCACAGACTATAGGAGCTGGGTGCTGGGATTCAGCCTCTTCCCAAAGAGCGACAGCCCAGAGTATTTGAGATGTTAGCTGGTGGTGGCCGCGCGGCGGCAGGCAGGCGTGAGGCAGAGCGCGGGCAGGGCTGGGGGACCTGGCTCCAGCTGTAGTGGGGTCTGGAGAAGGGGAAGTGAGTGGGGTGGGAGGAAGCAAACAAGGGCTCAAGATGTCAGGAGTGCATCTGAGAGTCTGTTTCTAAAGAAGGTGGGGAGGCGGTGATGATTTCCTGGGTAGAATGTATCCTCAGGTACAGGGAAAGGGGGTAGGCATGC